AGCCTAATATGGCTTAGTATCCGACCATTTGACCAGTTGCTATTATGCACACTGACCACCAGGGGGCAGACACTCCAACTGGTAGGTTAGCTTGCTATTGGGGTCCAGCCGATCAGGACAGGGTGAGAGGGGCTGGACACACCCTGGAGCCAACCTCCTGTGGTCCCTCCCCTGCCTCTAACATATTTCTTCTAATTAATTTCCTTTCAATGTGCTCAAATCTGTGCACCGGGCCTCTAGTTTATATGTAAAAATATATATATTTGGCATTGGAACTATCAGTTCTACCCACCCATCCTCCAGGAATGGGAGAGGGGCTGGAAATTGAGTTAATAAGCGATCATTCTTTTTTTTTTTTTAATATGTTTTATTGACTTTTTACAGAGAGGAAGGGAGAGAGATAGAGAGCCAGAAACATCGATGAAAGAGAAACACCGATCAGCTGCCTCCTGCACATCTTCTACTGGGGATGTGCCCGCAACCAAGGCACATGCCCTTGACCGTAACCGAACCTGGGACCTCTCAGTCTGCAGGCCAATACTCTATCCACTGAGCCAAACCAGCCAGGGCATAAGTGATCATTCTTACATGATGAAGCTGCCTCCATAAATATCTCTAAATGACAGGGCCCAGAGAGCTCCCAGGTTGGTGAATACTCCATGAGCTGGGTACTGTTGCACCCCAAGCTCCATGGGGACAGAAGCTCTTGTGGTTAGGACCCTTCCAAACCTCTCACTATGTATCTCTTCATCTCTCTGCTCATTTGTGTCCTTTATAATATTCTTCATAATAAACCTGTAATAATAAGTAAAGTGTTTTTCTGAGTTCTGTAAATTGTTATAGCAAATTATCAAAATGGAAAAAGGGTCTTGGGAACCCCTGATTTGAATCCAAGTTGGACAGAATTGTGTGTAACTTGCTAACTCTGGGTAGTTAGTATCAAAATGGAATTAAATTGTAAGACACCTAGTTAGTGTCTGCAGAGAATTGGAGAATATACTGGTGTGGAAAACCCACACATTTGGTGTCAGAAATGTTGTGAATAAAAATGGATTGTATTAATTGGTGTCAGAAGTGGGATTGGGTAAAAACAGCCCCGGCTCACAGAAACATGTGGTTTGGGAAAAGAAAGTATGAAGTGGGGGAGGGATGATAAATCTCTGATGCTTTGATCTCTGGATGGCTACCTAGTCACTCATGGTCTGAAACTGTATCTGTGCTGCCGTTAATAATAATGGAATTTATAAATGATGGTAGACTTGATCCCTATATTGGATATGTAAGTAAATGCAAAAATGAAAGGAAGCAGGCTAAACATACAGATCCTTGGTTGTTGTTATTGGTAATATGAAAATAAAAGAGAGTACTAAAATGAAAATAAAAGAGAATACTGGGTCAGACCTTAATTCTTGACCAAACACAGATTTGAGAAGTTAGGACCCTCTTGGCCTGAACCCCAGCTGGGGATCCAAGATCATATGCATGTGTGGATAAAATGGCTGGGGAAAGACTTTTCTGGGACTCCTTGACACAGGAGCCCAATGCATTGTGATTCCAAAACCTGTTGGTGAAGTCTTAATGGGGCTGAGGTTACATTAGATTAGGAGAATATGCAGATGCAATGGTTGATGGAATTACGGTGAAAGTTTGGATGAAAACTGATGGTAGTTCTAAGATGAATGGACAGCATCCTGTATGAAAAGCTGCCTCAGTAAGACTGTTAGATGGAAGGCTGATTGAAACAGGCCATCTCTCACTGGGTTGAGTTGCATGCTGTTTTCTAGCAGTGATGAAAGAATTGAACAATGGTAAAACAACAACAACAACAACAAACCACCTCAAAATCCTATGTTTGGGTTTTTACAGACTCATGGGCAATAGCCAATGGCCTAGCCATATGGTTAAGGTAGATAGGTGATAGAAAACTGGACTATTAAGGGGATGCCTGTATGGGGCATGGCCCTGTAGAAATCACTCTGGGAATTTAAGGGGTCTGTTAAAGTAGGACATGTCAATGCCCATCAGAAGAACCTTCTTCCAGATTCAGAAGGTGATTGGAACTGTCAAGTGGACCTTATGGTGTGCTCTCTTGAGATGGCCACTTGGACCCATGAAATGAGTGGACATGTGGGTGCTGTAGTAATGCAGAAATGGGCTGAATATAGATATACTCCTCTTGCACCCTGTGAAGCTCAAAAATGCCAACAAGAACTGTTCTTTGAACAAGAGAGACAGAAACTGGCTCTTGGGAAGATTTCACTGGGTGTGGGGTTGGGGGCGGCCCTGCTAGTTGGCAAGTAGATTACATTGGACCAATGCTGGTAGCCCCAGGGTCCTGACAGGGATAGACATTCTGGACTTTGCATACCTGGTGGTAGACACAGTTAAAAATAAACAACCTACCCAAAATGGAGTCACTGTGGTAAGCCTAACTTAACTGCAGTTTCAGCCTCTCCCAGGAGTGGAATTTTAAACCAGTCAGTCTAGAATTTTCTGGTCAGCACTAGTGAGGTAACCTGCCTGAAAAGACCCCTTGCCTTCTCCTAAGGGAAGATGACTTTGCTTGAAACCATCCACTCTTTTAACTTCCTTGTCCCACCCTGTTTCAGCCTATAGAAACTTATAGCTCCTGAGTTTACTACATGGAATGCTTCCTGCTTCATGAATCATTATATAAAGCCAATTAGATCTTAAATTTACTTGGTTGAATTTTTGTTCTTTAACAACACAGATGCTCAAAATACTACAAAAGGATTGGTATACTAGTAGAAGATACTGTACCAAATTTGGCCTCTGAGTTAATGTTTCTTTAGACCAAGGGATGCATACTATTTATAGCCCATAGAGCCCAACAGTAGGCCAAGAGATATCGTATCAAATGGACAAATCATGTTGCATATCATCCTCAGAGTAATGGTCTAACAGAGAATTGGAATGGGCACTTGAAACAATTGCTGTCTAAAATGGGGAGAGATAGCCCTGGCCTGGTATTTCAGTTGGTTAGAGTATTGTCCCAGTACGCCAAGATTATGGGTTTGATCTCTGGTCAGGGCATATACAAGAATCAACCAGTGAATGTATAAATAAGTGGAACTACAAATCTCTCTCTCTCTCTCTCTTTCTCTCTCATAAATCAATAAAAAAATCAAAATGGGGGAGATAAAAGCAAGAGAGACTAGCTTGCATGCCTTTCCGAGTGTGTGCTCACACTCAACACAAGGGAGGCTAAGTGGGTTCCTCCTGGATAGATTCCTCCAATTTTCTGGAGGAGATGGGAAAGAGGGGGTTAGGGAGAATGGTGGTGTCACTATACAGGTCTTCCCCACATCAAAATCAATAAAAAAATCAAAGTGGGGGAGATAAAAGCAAGAGAGACTAGCTTGCATGCCTTTCCGAGTGTGTGCTCACACTCAACACAAGGGAGGCTAAGTGGGTTCCTCCTGGATAGATTCCTCCAATTTTCTGGAGGAGATGGGAAAGAGGGGGTTAGGGAGAATGGTGGTGTCACTATACAGGTCTTCCCCACATCATTTCAACTTTTGTTTTCCCTACGTGATGCAATGGTCCCAGGATCAAGGGTGCAACTGTGGGTGCTGGAAGCAGGGAGGATTCCTAAGCAAGCAACATTAATCATACCTTTAAACCTTCATGCCAGAATTCCTGAGGACCTGATAGGGTGGACTGTGCCTTCACTGATCTGGCAAAGTCAGGGTTAACAGTGAATTCTGCTGTGTTGCCTAGTGGTTGGGTCAGCCCATTAGTTCCATCCCTTTATGAATGCGAGTTGACTGTCAGGGAGGGACTTGCTAAACTAGAACTGCTGCCAGCAATCTGGACCAGCACAGAGGCTGAACTAATGTACTTTCCAAAGGTGGAAATGTTGGGAGAAAAATAAATGGTGAAAAAGAGAAATAATAGCTGAGAGTAAAGGAATAAGTGGGTTATGCAATGAGGGAAATCCAACATAGTATTAATGCCTCTAGAAAGACTCAGAGCAAGAGAATAATATTATCTCTTAGATAATTATACCAGATGCCTAGAAAGGGTAAAGCTATGTTTGCTGAGACAACCCCTGCTTTTGTAACCTGATAAGATCCCATGGCAGCCTGAATGGACATTGCTCTAGGAGATATCCTGCTCATACGATATGATGGTGACTTACACCAACTGAAAATGACTAAATGGAACTTCAGTAATATGCCAGTATCTCTCTCCCTCCCACCCCCAAACCTGACTTCCTTTATTCCCACATTAGCAGGGCTTATCTATAAGAACTATTCCCTGAAAATCCCTCTTCAGCTCTTTTTCCCACATCATTTTTACTATCTTTTAAAAAAAACCACATTTTTATTGATTTCAGAGAGGAAGAGAGAGGGAGAGAGAAACATCAATGATGAGAGAGAATCATTGATTGGCTGCCTCTTGCATGCCCCACACTGGAGATCGAGCCCTCAACCTGGGCATGTGCCCTGACCAGGAATCCAACTGTGACCTCCTGGTTCATAGGTCATCACTCAACTACCGAGCCACACCAGCTGACCGGGGCTATGCCAGTATCTTTTAACTCATAATTTTCAGACTACTTCTGTTACATAGGATATCATACTGTGATAAGGTGTAATACTGGTAGTGTTGGTAAGATTTGACTACCTCATGAAAATGTCTTATGATAATACTGATATTGATGATCAAACGTATTGGGAGTTGAATTAAAGTCTCCTCAGGATATAATACCTATGGAAAATGACCTGTGCAAGAACTGAATCTATCTAACCATCAGCTGATTTCTGTCCTAAATATTTCTGCACAGGTTTATTATAAGGTACAAGTAGCAGTAGATCAAGGTGGGAAAAGAGTAATCAAATTAGTTCAAGAATATAAAAATGTATGTAATGGCTTTATAGAACCTATTAGTTGTTTCTTTTTGTCTATCCCTACTCCACACTGGCTTCTCCAAATGTTAGGCATATTAGTGTTTGTACAATTGCTATAGCTAGCCTATAAATGCTGCACTAAGTGTAAATGCTCTGACAGAAATGATCATTTAGCTGTAAGGAGTTTATGACCAGAATTCCTATTCAGTATCACACTGGAAGTCCTAGCCAGTATCTTAATTAGGCATGAGAATAAGTAAAAAGCATACAAAATGGAAAGGAAGAAATAAAACTGTTTTTGTTTAAAGATAACATGATTGTCTATGTAAAAACACCAAGGAATCTATAAAAAGTTTCTTAGAACTAAGAAGTGAGTTTAGCAAAATTGTAAGATACAAGGCCAATATTAAAAAAGCAATCATAGCCTGGCCAGTGTGGCTCAGTGGTTGAGCATCGACCTATGAACCAGGAGGTCACGGTTCCATTCCTGGTCAGTGCACATGCCTGGGTTGTGGGCTCGGTCCCCAGTGTGGGGCATGCAGGAGGCAGCCAATCAATGATTCTCTCTCATCATTGACATTTCTATCTCTCCCCTCCTCTTTGAAATCAATAAAATAAATTTTTAAAAGTTTATTTTAAAAAATGCTCTTTAAAAAATATTAGAAATATAAAAGTTAGACAGAGATAAGTTTCACATTATTTATAGGTGACACCCTAAGATAATCACTGCAAAACTATTATCCTATATAATAAAGCCCTAATATGCAAATCAACTGAATGGCAGAACTACCGGTCACTATGACGTGCACTGACTACCAGGGGGCAGTCGCTCAATGCAGGAGTTGCCCCTGGTCAGTGTGCTCCTACAGGGGGCTCATGGCTGGCAAGCGCATGACAGTGGCGGGAGCCTTTCCTGCCTCTGCTGCAGGCGGGCAGTAAGGAGTGAGGGGTCCCGGACTGCAAGAGCCCTGGCCTACAAGAGGGATGTATGACTGCCGGCCTGGGGGATCGGGCCTAAGCTGGCAGGTGGACATCCCCCGAGGGGTCCCAGACTGTGAGAGGGCACAGGCTGGGCTGAGGGACCCCCTCCTCCAGTGCATGAATTTAGTGCACCGAGCCTCTAGTACTTAATAAGAGAATTTAGTAGGTGGCTAAGTAGAAAAAATTAAAAGATAGAAAATATCCCCTTCTATAACACAGAGATACAGCACCTGTGAATGAATGAACTTAACAAGAAATACTCAAGATCTATATTTTTAAAAATTAAAATACTACTGAGGGACACAAAAGGAATCAACAAATAGGAAGGAAAACTATGTTCTTGAAAGGAAGACTAACACTAGGAAGATGTCAATTCTCTCTAAGTAATCTAGATGTGTAATGCAATCTCAATACAAATACCAATAGGAGTTCTTTGGAGGGGAGTACTAGATAAGTTGATCTTAAAGTTCATGTGGAATAAGAAATAAGAAAATATAGTTAGGAAAATTTTGAAAAAGAAGATTAAAAGGAACTCAAATAGATATTAAAATATAAAGCTAAAATAGTTGAAAGACTGTGGTGCTAACAAATTAAAAAAAACAGAGGGAAGGGAATGGAAAATCCAGAAATAAATTCAAATTCATACACAAATTTGATTTATAATGGTAGCATTTCATATTAGTGAAGAAAAATTATTGTTCAATAAATGATCTGGGATAAGATAACATTAGGAAATTGTCCAGTGAAAATAGTAAGAGATATGAATAGTTAGTGGAAAATAAATTACAAATGACTCTTTAACATATGAAAATGTTCACTCACAGTGAAATAGAAAATTTCCCTCACAATAAGAAATGCAACTAAAGATTACACTGAGATAACATTTTTCACCTTTCAGATTGACAAAGATCAAAATGTTTGATAGCACAGAAATGTTGGTGTTTATATGTGGAAATGGACGCTCTTAAATATTGCTGATATTCAATCTATATGGAGGACAATTTGGTAATTTTTATCAAAATATTATATGTACCTTTGACCCACAATTTCATTTCTAGCAAAATTTTGATAGCAATACTCCTACATGTGCAAAACTACATAGTTTATTAGTATAGAATGTAATAGATTAGAAATGAATTTAAAATCCTCAAAGGGGCCCTAGCCGGTTTGGCTCACTGGAGAGAGCGTCGGCCTGGGGACTGAAGAGTCCCGGGTTCGATTCTGGTCAAGGGCATGTATCTTGGTTGCAGGCACATCCCCAGTAGGGGGTGTGCAGGAGGCAGCTGATCGATGCTTCTCTCTCATCGATGTTTCTAACTCTCTATCCTTCTCCCTTCCTCTCTGTAAAAAATCAATAAAATATATTAAAAAAATAAAATAAAATCCTCAAAGGGATCTAGTTAAATGGTGGAGCCATATAAATGAGATACTATGCTGACATAAAAAAAAATTTAGAAGTTTTGTGATAGTGATATGGAATTATGGCCAAGCTATTTTTCTAAAAAAAAAATATTTTTATTGATTTCAGAGAGGAAGGGAGAGGGAGAGATAGAAACCTCAATGATGAGAGATAATCATTGATTGGCTGCTCCGGCATGTGTCCTTGACCGGAATCGAACCCAGGACCCTTCAATCCACAGGCTGACGCTGTATACACTGAGCCAAACCAGCTAGGACTGGCCAAGCTATTTTGATAAATGAAAAAGGCAAGGGGAAGAATATACAGAGAACATGCTACCATTTGCGGGGAGGAGGGGTGGGTGGAGAGGAACAAAATATATATGTATATATTCTGGAATGTGCATAAGTTACCTCTGGAAAAGCATCAGAAACAGTCATATTGGTTGCTTCAAGGGAGAGGACCATGGTAGTTGAGGGAGAAGACTGAAGAGACATTCCACTGTTTACTGTTGGATACTTTTTGGATTTTGAACCATGTCAATAAATTATTTGGCCAAAAAAAGGAAACAGATAACATTAAACCTAAAAAAGGTGAGGAAAAGTTGACTGACTGTGATGTACACAAATGAGGGTTTGCTTTTCGCTCATAAAAAGAAGCCCAAACTGACTTGTTCAGCTGCTCAAGGATGCCTCGTTCTTTCTTTTCTTCCAGGACCGCCGTCCTCAGAGGATTGGCTTTTTATCTCCATGGCTGCTTCCTCGTGACAGTAAGATGGCTGCGACAGCTCAGGCTTCATGTCCTCAAACAAGAAAGAAAGGACAAGGAAAACCAAAAACTTTCCCCTAATGATGCTTTTTGTCCTAAGAATGAGACGTTTCTGTACTGTCATTGGCCTGAAATGGATCCTAGGCCCCATCCTAAACCAATTCCTGGCAAAGGGGAATGGTTTTTTACTGGCTTCTAGAGGAAGGGCCGCTCCTCCTGACATCATGGAATGTCTGTATTGGTACAGAAAAGGGGTTCTGTTGCTAGGGAAGGTGTGGAAGTCTGCTGGGTAGGTTGCAGAAAGACTCCATTACAGCTGCCAATGTGAACCACTTCATCTTCTGAAAAAGAAATTCTTAGTTACCAGGCCTGTCTACCCCGACATATCCCACTGCTGCCACTTGACACAGTTAAATCCATCTCTCTCCTGGGCTGCTGGCGTGGCCTCTTCCCTGGCCTCGCCGTACCCATGTTCACATTGCTGGATTCAGTATTGGCTTTTTGCTCCCTGTGATATCGGAGTGGGGTTCTCAAAATTAATACATGAGAGGCTACCTAGATTCAGGCTTAATTATCCCGTTATTAACTACTATTGTATCGGGTCCCATCTTTCTAAGGCAACTGTCAAGAGGCTGTCTTCACTGATTTTCTATCAGCTTTCATTCTAGACAGGAGCTCCTCAGTCTAACGCGTGCTCCTGGAGTCTGTATGAATTCGACCCTGGCAAGACAAAGCAAAAAATCGGCCGAGAGACGGCTCGTATTTCAAAAAACTCGTTAGTCGGGACACTCATAAGTCAAGGCCCCACTGTATATGAGAGGCTACCTAGATTCAGGCTTAATTATCCTGTTATTAACTACTATTGTATCGGGTCCCATCTTTCTAAGGCAACTGTCAAGAGGCTGTCTTCACTGATTTTCTATCAGCTTTCATTCTAGACAGGAGCTCCTCAGTCTAACGCGTGCTCCTGGAGTCTGTATGAATTCGACCCTGGCAAGACAAGCATGGGCAGCGTTATGGGCTGAGTCGTGTCTCCCACAATTCAGACGTTAAAGTCCTAACCTTCAGTGCCTCAGAATGTGACTGTATTTGGACGTAGGGTTTTTAAAGAGAAAATTAAATTTAAGTGAGGTCATTAGTGCGGGCCCTAATCCAGTAAGACTGGTTCCCCTATAAAAAGAGGAGGTTAGGACACAGGCACACACAGAGGAGGACCTTGTGAAGATACACAGAGAAGACGCCATCAGCAAGCTAAGGAGAGAAGCCTCAGAAGAAACCAACTCTGCCGACACCTTGATCTTGGACTTGTAGCCTCCAGAACTGTGAGAAAATAATTTTTTTGTTGTTTAAGCCTCCCAATCTGTGGTACTTTGTTAGAGCAATCCTAGCAGATTAATACAGGAAGGTATAAATCTTACATTTGAATGGTGTTACATAGAACTCTGTCTTCGCACCACTTTCTAAAAGTGTTTTTCCTTTTATATTGTTGACAGTGTAGAAGAGTTGTTTTTTATCTGAACACATGGGAACAATGATTAAGGATTCATGTTGTCTGGCTGTAGCGTACTGCAAAGCAGGAGGATTTAACTATCTAAACATACAGCTCACCATTGTTGACTTCTCAACCAAGGAAGATGGTTGGAATACTTTCATGAGGTCAACCTTAAATAACCCATCCCCTTGCTTGGATCAGGCGACTCCTGGAGTATGTGTTTTAGAACCACCCAATCTTGATGAGCCCCAGCCACAGAGTTCTTAACATGAGACCCAGATGGTGGCCTTTTATGGAAGGAGCAGTCAGCTGGCAGCCGTTCCCTTTACAATCCTTCAAGCTAAGATCGTCTCTACCGGGCAGCACGGTAAATAAATTCTGGGGGCCCAAACATTTACTAAGAGAGCTTGAGAAGATTTCAACTTCTTTCGGGCAAAAAATAAAATAAGACGAAAAGAAATAAACAAAATAAAAATCGTGAGTGCTCCTTCTGGGTGACAGGAGGTCAGCCTAGATCTCGACACCAACAGAATGTGAACTTGGCCTCTCACATTTTATGCCTCAAGTCATATTTTCCCCTTCAGTCAACCCCGCAGAACATGTTTGCACTCTGCAATGTGGCTGTGAGGGTTCATGCCTGTGGAACATGCAGGGGGTCTGGCTCCCTGAGAAAACCAGCCCATTTTACCCCTGCAAAGAAATTCTGGAAGAATATGGTACGTGGAGTTTTTACTCGAGGCCCCTAGAACCAGGCTAACTGGGTGCAAATCCCAGCTTTGCCATTTGCAGTCGAATTGGGCAAGTGACGTACCCTCTCTGTGCCTCGGTTTCCTCAGGTGTTAAATGGGAATCGTAGTAGTATCTAGCTCATAGGGATGTTGTGAAGATTACATAAATTATTATTGCAAAGCATTTCAACACGGCCTGGCATGTTGTCAGTGATCACTGGCTAATGCTGTTATTAACAGAATCACATATACCAGTCCCTCATAGACATACCTCTGTGGGATTATATTTTAGTTTTGACCTTTTCCTTTGACATTGCCCAGTGGAATAGTGTTTCTATATGAATCCCCAGAAAATAAATTATCTAGGTCTCAATCTCCACTTTATTTGCATGTGGTTACAAATTATAAATACACTTGCCATTTTACTTCCTCTCTGAAACTTTCCTTTTACCTAGTAACCCTACCCAAACCCCCAGTTTTTAATGACTCCTTTTCTTCTCCAGAGGAGAGGGGTGATGGTCCATGTAACTCCATATTCATATAGGGTCTACCTCAGTCCATGCGAAGTGCAGGTCCTCAAGGGGCCTCTGAAGCTTGGGATGAGTGCCACGAGTCTGTCAGAGGTTCCGTGACATCCTTGCAAGTGACCATGTGGCTGGCTTCCTTCTATGCCATGCTTTGGGTGCAGAGCGCCATGGTGGGCAGCAGCAGGCATCATATGCTCTGTCTGCCTGAAGCTGAGCTGGTGCAGCTCCAGTGTCCAGGGGATCTGCAATGAAGTCTCAGGCCTGTTCAGGCAGTAGTGAGAGTCCTGTGGCGGGCACGGTACCCAGCCAGTGCCCGGCCCTGCTCTCGGAGGTGTCTGAGGCCTGGCCCCTTAGGGCTTGCCTCTCAGGGGCCCTACCCAGGCCCCCTGTCAATCCTGTGTGGGCAGGGAAGCCTCGGGGAGAAGGTGCTCTTGTGCTTCCCTTCTCCTGGCTTCTTCCAGACACCATGAGGCATGGGTGACAGATTGGGTCCTTGGTCCTGTTAGAGGTCATGGCATCCCAGTGTCTCTGTCTCGGCCAGGTGCCAAGCTTTGCCATCTTCCTGGTAGGGTGTAGAGAGCCCGGGAGGACCAGGGGCACCCTCTTCGGGAATGGGGTATGGAGGCTCCGGGGGCGCAGGGGGGTCTCCAGGACCTCGTGCTCCCCCCAGTACGGGTCCATTGTAGATGTAGATATTGCCAGTGACAGTCACAGACCCACCTTTGCCGACAACAATGCCATTGGTACCTGTGGGAAGGGAGGCAGAGTGAGAGGGGCTGAGGGGCACTGTGGGGGAAGGAAGGCCTGTGTGCCACCTGCATTGGTGCCCCTACATCCAGAATGCCCTCACTCTTCTGCCTTCTCCATTTCCTCTCTGGTCCCACTCCCATTTGCTATTGGTTTCTTGAGCCCTGCATTCATTTCTGTTTCTGGGTTTTTCAGACTCTTCCTTTCTCTCTAGTTGGGACATTCTGGCTGGCTCTCAGTCTCTGTCTTGCCTCGCACTTTCTCTCCCTGCCCACCATCCTTCCCACCGCACCTCCCCACCCCTCCCCTCCCTGCAGCCTGCTTACCATGGGCCACCTGGCCTTGCTCTGGGAGCTCAGCCTCCAGCTCCCGGGCTTGGCTCAGAGGACTCTGCTGTTGTAGCACCTCTTGCTCCACAACTGGGGGTGTTGGGGGCCTGGCTGAGGCCAGGGGTAAGACTCCAGGGATGGGCAGAAGTGGCTTTACCAGGTCAGGGATATGTGGGTTGATGCTTGGAGGCTGCCAGTTTCCATCAGCAATATTGGATTCCTCTCCCTGCAGGAGGGAAGCAGAGAATCAACCAATGATGTGGGCCTCAGACCCGCATCTTTCTTTAATTCCCACATCCCACCCCAGCTTAGGCAGCCCGGGCCCTCCTCTGCTCCTCCTCAAGCTCCCTGCCGCAGGCCTTTGCACTTGACATTCTTGCCTCTTGGAGCATTTCCCCAGGCATCCCGATGCCTTCGTTTCTTCAGCTCTCTGCTCAAAGATGGGCTCATCAGAGAGGCCCTCTGTCCACTGTCTAAGGTAATATACCCCCATCCTCTGCCACTGTCATCCATTGTCCCCCTATCCTGCTTTATTTGTCCGTTATCAGGACTTGATACATACTTATTTACTCTTGCTCCACTGCTATGTTACTCCAGGAGGGGAGTTACTTTGTTCGCTCACTGCTATATCCACGTGCCTAGAACAGTGCTGGGCAGATGGCATGCTCAAAAGTTATTCGTTGAATGAATGAATGTTGAGGCCTGCACGCTCTTTTTCTGCCTACCCCCACATTGTTCACTCTCACTTCCTGCCCCTCCTTGCTGCCTTCTCAGCTTCCCTCATTACCTCTGGACGGCTCTTGAGCAGGGATCCTGCAATGAAAATAAAATGGATATAGGGCCTCTGGCAGACCTCAGACCCCAGGCTTTCACCCTCCACACCCCACCACGAGGTGTTGCTGCCCACCCTGGGGTCCCGGAAGGAATAGGCTATCATGACCCTTCTCTCTAGGCTCAGAATGGGGTGGGGAGGGGCTAAAGGGAGACGATGTCTATGTTGGGAGCAGGCACTGGGAGTCTTGGGCATGTGGAAGGGTTGTATGGGGAAGATGAAAATTCCCTCCCACCCCCTCCCGCATCCAGGTGGGGACTGACAACCACATCCCTGCCTGCATCCAGCCCTTCCTACCCTACCCAGCTTTCTGCAGAGAGATGGGT